TTACTAGACTGTTAATCTTGTAATGAGGAGCAAAGCCAGTGTGAGCCTCTGTACCCACCCTGCAGACTGTAGAGAGCTGGCTCTCCTAGTAACCTCAGCGCAGGTACTCAACCCACCTGAAAGCTGGTAGGGTGGCTCTTATTTCTGTGGCTTTCACACATGTTGAACTCCACCCTGGACTGTGATAAAAACAGACTTGCAGCTGGCACCCTCAGTGTTCTTTCAGTACCCATCACTGTATTTTTTGGCTCTGCTGAAACATTGACCTAGGCTTGTAAGCACCTCAGCCTGGTCTAGAAGACTTCAAGAAGCATCCCCTTGAGATGCTGCTTCCTGCAGCGAGCAGCAACCTCTGGCTGAAGTCTTTAGACCTCGATGCTGAGATCTAAAGTTGGCCACGTGGCCCATCCCTGAAATGGAGTAGATATCAAATTGGTGACTACTGACAACAACTTATTTGGCATGTTTTTAGCCAGTTGTCTCAACACTGCCTTAACTTGATGCTCTCCTTTAAAACAAGCTAGTCATGTGGAAGATTTGTAAGTGGCCACTGTCTCCTTTTTTTAATTTCTGTAGCTGATAAGCTATTTCTGGAGGGCTGTCCTCCATGTTCTGATATCTGCTTTTGTTCTTAAAGCACAGTACCAAGAAGTTATATTTACATGTGATGTTTGTGTGAAGGAAACTCATGTGACATCTGCTTCAATGGCAGAAAAATGTCTTGGTCTCCAATAGGTTCAGCGGTGATGTTGTCTTAGTATGTACTGACTCTTGGATTAAACTGCAGGAAGTGTTTTTTATCTGGGTGGGAGAAATCCTTCTGAAGGGCAGTGTGATGGCAAGTAAATACTTAGTGCTTGTCATAAAGTCTATTAGTGGTTTGTTGACTGATGTATAGGCAATGTCACTGGGCTTGTGAGCCTAGCTTGTGTCTCTAGGACAAGTTTGGTGTTGGTAACCAGTCAGTGGTGGGGTGGGAAGGCAGAGTGAAGGGAGCTATTCTTTGTGAAATGGCTGGATGACCCAGGTTGACTACTTCCTGAAGTAAAAGTCTTTCTTGTCTCTGTGCAAAATCCAAAGTATGCCTAATTTTGTAATATGGATAGAACAATGTTGTAACTAGAAAGAATGTAGCTGTCATTACTTCATGTTGATGGAAATGTTTGCACTGGGGTAACGTGCCTTGGGCTGTCTGGGGCACTCTTGTGGTCTTGTCTGTTGAGAACTCCACTCTTGAACTGAAAGAATGTTTTGGATTTGTTTTTTTTCCAAGCATGAGTCTAATGTGAACCTGTTCACGGTCTCTTGTGGAGCAAGATATGTTCCCTTCATAACTGCAATGGCTCAAATACCATTTATTTTTTTCAAACATTAAAGGTGAATTGACACATTTAAACAGCGTCTGGTTTCTTCATTGCCAGCTGTCTGATGCAAAAACTGCTCTTGTCTGGGGAAGGTGAGTGACAGGTTCTCTGCCCTGGAAGATGCCGATGACCCAAAGGAGGCAGCTCTGTGGACCAGCAAGTAACTTGGTCGGGGGAGCATATGTGGCCCATCTGTGTGGGCACTGACCTCCAGTCTGGCTCAAACACTGTGCCAGAAGGAGAGATGGAGGGGAGTGCATCCTGCTGCAGCCCTAAAAGGTGCTTCTGTGCCAAGTAACCTAGATATGAAGGCGTTAAGTCTGACCTCTTAATGGCTTCAGGCAGACTGAGGGTAGTGTAGCAGCTGGGGTTCTGGCTCCTCTGTGCACTCAGGTGTCTGCCCTGCTTTGCAGGAAAGTTGGGTTCCTTTCTGTGCTTCATAGCAAGGCAGAATCTGGAAGTGTTGCAAACTGCCTGGAGCTGCCATGTTCAATACTGCCCTTGCCTCCCTGGCTTGTTCCTGCCAACCTCAGTTTGAGCATGTAGTCTTCCTGATGTACTGGCAAATCTGTGGGCTCTTGTCAGCTCCGACAGTGTAACAGCTATGCTGCAGGACTGTAACACTGGCATGTAAAATGAGGGAAAGCTGAGCTGTAGACAAGCGTGAGGCTTATGTTAAGTAGCTACAAAATGAAAGAACTCCAAAGCAAGCAGCAGTATGTTTGCTACACACAGGCAGCCTGTCTAACCTGTACCTGACAGTGCTGAAAAACAGAGGAGGTTTCTATATTTGGGAGGAGCTGGGAGTGCTGCTCCTCCTTCTGCATTCCCAGTGAGCCTTTTAGCTGGAATTATAGTTTAAGCTAAACCGTGCTGAGGCTCTGCATTCCTGGTGTGCCTGGCTCTGAGTTATTGCTGCGACTCCAGGAAAACGTCTGCAGCCCTGTGGGGCTGGGGAAGTTGATCCCTATTGGTGCATGGGGCTCTTAATGGTTAAAAACTGACTCAGGAATGCCAGTTGCTGCCCAGGAGGCTGCTAATCTGAACTCCTGATGAACTTTTCCAGGGCTATTCTGTCGAAGGGGAGCCTATTTCATTGTGTGTACATCCCATGGTTGTGTGGTGTACGATGGTCCCTGGTGCAAAGTGGAATCCTGGAGTGATGCCATACCTTGGAGCTGACACATGCAAGTAGAAAATGAGTTTGTTGCTTCCTTAGATGTGTCACTGCAGCAGAAACCCCCCTTCAGGCTAATAAGAGCTCTAGCTTGCACCTTTAGTGGTGAGGCTAGCAGGGAAACCAAGCCCAGCTCACCTGTCCCTGCACAGCTAAGAGGCTTTAACACAGAGCTTTATGTCCCACTGCCTTTCCCTTGTTCTCCCCAGACGCTGCCTGACACAGCTTTTGGCTTTGAATTTTTCCATTGCTGTGCTCCACATTCGTCTCCAGTTTCCACCATGTGCAGGTGGCCTGCATTATGCCTCAGAGCATTAACTGTGTCTGTGCTGGAGAGGCCAGCAGCAAGCTGGGATGCCTGCTCAGCCTCAGCAAGAACACAGAGCTATTTGGAAACATCTGGATCCGGAACAGTGAGTGGAGGGTATGTATCTGTGGGGGAAACATCTGGAGGAAGAAACTGCTTCCAGATGTTTGGGGAAAAAAAAAACAAAAAAAGCCCCACTATTTAAACGTGAACTCAGTAGATGTTACCATTCTGCTTTATGGGCATTCAGAAAATGTCTGATGGCAGCAGGGTCTGAGCTGCTGGCTGCTGCTCGTGGGCTTAGGGCCGAGGCCTGCAGATGTGTGTGCATTTGCTGTGGATAACTGGTTCATGGCTGGGGAGTGTGTCACATTATTTTTTGTTGCACAAACCAGAACTTTAAATTCCTTGCATAGAGTATTTCTTCCAGATGTGGCCTTGCAAAAGCAGTTTTGTGGCACTGAACACTGTGCAGGCTCTTTTTGGTGGCCGTGTTCCATGTATGTAGCTATTAGTCATTACCTAGCAATTATTTCTCTATGGAGGGAGCCTGGAGTAAAGCAGCTGGAGAAGGTGCAGGAGCCAGCCCTGCCTCCTTGCTGCATGGGCACAATATTCTCCTCTGCGTCTGCCTGTGTTCTATTAAGGGTCCCAGCGATGGTGAGATCCTCCTAGCTCTGTGCACCCATGAAGGGGCTGGGCACTGCAGCCTATTCCTGTGGGATGCCCAGGACTGCTTGTCTGTGCTCTCCGTCCTTCCAGCCCACAAAATCACTCTGCAGCACAGGCTGCAGCTTTAGTCTTTCCCGAGCACGTGGAGCAGAGCCTGTTGCTGATAAACCTGACACCCGAAGGACATGTTCCTTTTTTGCAGCATTTCTGTGGGAGGTTTGAGATGAAGAGAGAAAAACATGGAAATCATTTTTATCTCATGCTCAGTCCCTGCCTGGTGAATCCTGAAGAGCCGATGCCACTTGGTGCGGGAAGCAGGGCTGTGCCATCCCTGCCCACCCGAGGTTTCCCTGCTTTGTTCTATTTATTGAGCAGCATCTCCCACACCCTTTGCCAGACTGTGACTCATAGCAACAAAGCCTGTGCTGAAGCCATATGCCTCAGCGCTGGATGGATATGGGAGCTGCAGGTTCCTCACAGGAGGATAAACTGTGTTTATTAAAAGACAATCAGATGCTTCTTCCCTTAAGGCAGCATCTAGCTGAGGCTAAGTAATGATAACTCATTACTGCTGAGACAAAAAAAAACTGCTTTTCCTCAGGTCAGCAACTTCTCCAGCCCCCCTGCGAGCTTCCCTGAGGGCTGTTCTACACTGAGCACCGGTGGGGGAAACAAGGGAGATATTCCCCTGCCCAGTGCTGTGCCTGGGGTACGGTGGATTGAAACATCCCTCTGTTCTGGCATTGTGCTGGGTGGGAATTGCTGTAAAGCAGAACGCAGCATCTGCACTGTCTCAAAACATGTCAGGTCCTTGCCGATCTATTCAGATTGCCTGTGCAGCCTCCAGATGGATTTCTCTTGGTTTCTAGGCTTCCTCCTTTTCGTGTCCAGCTGCTCCAGGCTGCAGCTTTGGGTTTGACCCTGCAGGGCCACATTCTGGCCCCATCCCTTCTCCTGCAGGAGGCTGGGAGGCAGCCCAAGGTTCAGCTCAGTGCCCTGTGTTAAGCTCCGGGAGCAGCTCCATTTGGCCCTGGAGGGCCTCATCTTACTTCCTGCAGAAGCTGTTTTAGTGGTTGAAAGAGTTTGTGAGAGAGCTGCGATCCCCCCACATTTCAACACGTGCATGGCCTTTCCTTTCACCTCCTCCCAGCCTGGTGTGAATTGAGTGCTTTCAGGGGGAGGAGACTGCTGGGAGCTCTTCTCTCCCGTCGCATTGGTTACAGCCCATAAAAACATCCCAGGAATTTGCCACAGCAGCCTCTCGCATCATGAAAGCGGCCTTTGTTCCCAGAGTCGCAGCAGCACCTCTGACCAGTGTGTGTGGGCCAGGGGCTGCAGAGCAGCTGGGGGCTGCTGTGGGACACAGGCATCCAAACCACACCTGGGAAAAGTGTTTCTCAGTGTTTTGCCAGAACATGGTTTAGCCCTGTGCTGCTTAAGCTGAGTCAGAGGAACGGAAATCCCATCTTACACAGGCATCTTTCCATGAGCAAGAGGCTACGTGTTTTATTCCAGCTCAGGATCTCATGCTGGTGGCTTTGGGGTCTGGGTGCAGGTGGCCCCACTGCAGCCTGAATGCAGCAATGGCTGGCACCCAGCCCACAGCACAGCACTGGGAAGAAATAAATGCATTTTATTTTTTAGGAAAGCCCAGAATGCTTTGATGGAGATAAAACCTCTCTGTCAATCCAATTCTAAAAGTCTTCTTTTCTTGAAGGGATCACACTGACCTGGTAGAGAGCAGCTGACCCGGCCCATCAGCCAGTTTGGAGGGGTCCATCCAGGCCTGTGCTGCTGAGGATCCCCTGAAGCGGTGGGGCTGAGGGCAGGTACAGCTTGGCCCTTTCCAGTGAGGTCCTGGGTGCTGTGTCCCTCGTGTCCCTGGTGGCTCACACAGCGCAGGGCCGGCTGTGACTCAGCAAGCCCTGGTGCCAGGCCTGGGCTTTGTGTCGTGACTGTCCCCAGCAGCGCTGACACCTGCAGTTCCAGCAGAGCTGGGCTGGCTCAAGACATCAGGGTGCTAAAATATTTTACAGAAAATCATTAAGCAATTAAACTGGCAGATCTGACATCATGTGAAAAGCAGGCTGTAATCTGTGTAGTAAACAGGGCAATGCTTTCTGTTCTTTCTGAGTGTCTTCTTGGAGTCTAATCCTTGCTTCAGAATAACTATTAATTATCTCCAATTGCCATTATTGTTTTACATTTTTAGCATTTTCAAGCGCAAACTGTTAGTTTTTCATAAAGATACAATCAGCAGCCAGGGTTCACAATGAAAGCAATTAAAATCCTGTGATTGTTACAAGCCTGCTTGTCTATACAACAGCTTCAACCTGCATCGCTTGCCAAGACGTAGGCCAGGAGCTCAAGAGAAATCTATCGTTTATTTGGTAACCCAGCAAAGCTACAACCCCTCGCTGTCTCCAATGATTTGTATGTATGGCACTTTTTGGAAGGACAAGAGGGGAGGAGAAAGCAAGCATTTTCTAGAATACATCCCTAGAGAAAATACAGAGAAGATAAAATTATGCACATGAATTATGCAGATGAATTATGATTTCACTCCTATTTTTGTTGGGATTAGCTCATGGTTGGTGTGCATCCCTGGCAGCCAGCACAGCGCTTTCCCAGCCCCAGCTGTTTGCTGCATTTTGGATCCCACATTCCCCTCCCAGCAGACAAGAGTGATCTGAGCTGCTCCTTAGAGTTCCTTTGTGGTACTTCTGAGCACCTGCAGACGTGGCATGGGGATGTCTCAGCCTCTGCCAGATCTGGGGAAGACAAAGGCTGGGGAGCAGGAGCACAGGCTGGATTGCAGCTGACCAGTACCTGTTGTGCCCCTGAATCACTGCACCAGCCTCAGCAGTGGCTCCCAGCACAGCCTATTTATGCCACGTTAAATAAGTCTGGTAGCCCTTCCCAGAAATAGCTTTGGAAATCTGAGCCTCGGCTCTCAGGAGGGCTGGGTGACCTCAGAGTGCAGCGCTTCCATTTGGAAGGAGGTGTAATGCTCCTCGCTGGAGGGAAGGAATTATCCTGATGAACCAGTTAGGGAGACAAGCAGAGGATCCTGATGGGACAGCAGGGCCCCAGCAGCATGGGTGGTCTCCCTCCTGCTGCCCTTGGGTGCTGGGGGCTTCTCTGGCCATCCCACATGCTGTCCCCCATCCTGCCAGAGAGTGACATCCCTGACAGCGCCAGCAGTTGCTTGCATGAGAAAACGAGATTAGGAAAATATTTGAAGTATCTGTGTCTGTCCTTCAGGGGCAAACAAGCCTGGAGCCAGCACTGTTTGTCCATCAGCTGGCCCGCAGCTTGGGAAAACAGCCAGAAAGCGGTGGGAGACACCTTTGGCACCAGCAGAGATAAAGCTAAGTGCTGTACTGAATCTGCACATGCCTTTGGAGAATGGTAACTGCGGCACCTTGCCGGTTGGGCACTCATTGCATCTCCATAGCTGAACATCCTAAGGAGGAGAATCTGCATTTTGTGTTTGCTTCCCTGGGCAGGAGGATATTTTTGACTCATGTGTTTCATCTGTTCTGAAATCACACTGATAAGAAGTGAAATGTCAGTAAGTTTGGAGGCAGGACTGACATGGAGAGCCTGGCAAAGAAACCCCCTGAAATTCTGAGGAGAGTTATGGGCCAGTTATTCTCTGGTGGTCACCTGGAGCAGGGCTGGTGGGACCCAGCCAGAACTGACCCTGGGGCTGCAGTGGGGGGAGGACACCTTCTTTCCATGATTTTAAGCCAAATACAGCTGCTGAGATCAATAGGGAAGGATATTCCCCTGCAGTACAGAGAGCCCCATTCCATTCTTCCCTGGAAACTTCAAAGGAGCCGAGCAATTCAGTTCCCACTGATTCAATTTGAAAATACCGATGTCAAATCATAATTATAGCATACAGAATTACAGGTGGACAAAGAACCCACCACACTTCAGCCACTCCATTTTCCTATCAGTGAGCGTTTGCGGTTTATCAAGATGTCAAATAACATTGGAAGACATCTCTACAATTAATGACAATTTCACAGACTTACTGGGAAGAAAGAGGCCGTCTTCCTGTCCCAGCCATCCTTACCCAGCTGTGTGCTCCTCTCTACGAGCTGCACTTCTGACGCTTCTCAGCCTTCTGAGGCTCTGTGCTGTGAGCAGGGATCTGCACGGCGCCCTGCCGTGGTGCTCCCTCACGACTGCTCTGTGCTGTGCGGGGCTCCGGGGCCGAGCACCTGCCCACCGCGGGCACAGCTGAGAGGTGTCTCTGAAGGAACCCGGCGGCGTTTCGCTCAGCTCTCATTTGCGGCCCAGCGGTTTGGGTCACGCTCGTAAAGCAGAGGCTGCCAGAACGCCAACTGCAGCAGCGCTTCAGAAGCAGGAGGCAACGCGAAAGGAAGAGCTCTACAGATGTGCTAACAAGATTCTAGAATAATAAATAATAATAATTAAAAAAACGAAGCGGTGACAAAAGGGACAAAACTAAACACGGGCCCTGGCAGAACGGCCGCCCAGCAGGCTCAGCACTGCCCCCTGCCGCCACGGCCGCCACGGCCTCCCCGTCCCGCCCCTCCCGGCCGCCGTAGCATACCCGGAAGTGCTCCGCGTTGCCATAGCGACAGTGGCGGAAGGGCGGAAGATGGCGGCGGCTGCGGCGGCGGCGGTCCCGGTGCGGGAAGCGGGGCCGGGCGGCTCCTTCCGCCGCTACATGGCGCGGTTGGGTGCGTTGCGGACTCAGCCCGGCGCGGACCGTTCCGGCGGCGGCCGTCGCACTGAGCTGCACCTGCTGTTCGACCAGCTTATCTCCGAAAACTGCGGGCCGGCGCCGGCGGTGGGACCCAGCGCTCAGGTACCGGACACCGCCGCGTGCGGGGTGCTTGCAGCCGCCTGAGGCCCGTCCGGTGTCGGTCCCGAGCGCTGCTGGAGCCGGCGTGACTCCATGAGAGCCGGGGGCTCGGAGCGGGGCCCGGCGGCGCACGTGCCTTGCGGCCTCTCGATGACAAACCCACGCTTTCTTTCCCAGGATGTTTGTGTCTTGCTCGCCCAGGCCTGCCAGCTGGTTCCCTTCGGTCAGGAGCATCTCGTCAGCAAAGTCTGTCAGCTCATCCATCACCTGCTTAACAGATTCCAGGTATGGGAAGCTGGCTGTGCCTTAACCCTCTGTGCAATCTCCCTGGGCCCCCATTGAGTCAGAGGGGCCTTTTGCCATTTCTGTGGGGCTGTGGAGCTGACCTCATGTGGGGACGCTTGGATTTTCAGTGCAGTGTGTATTTGCTCTTAGCCGAGGTTCTGACCTGTGACTCCAGTGTGACTGTGAAAGGCAGCTCTCGTGGGGAGTGCAGCTGGTTACAGGACACTCATGTGCACCGATCTGTTTCTGAAATGTAAATTTCTGATTCTGTGATGATGTGTAATTTTAACAGCCAGATTACCCAAGTCTGTAGCCATGGAGATATTGATCAGTACAGGATAATGCTGTTTTCTTGACCATAATCCTTTTTCTCTTACGACAGGTGGTAGTTGATGAACAGAACTTGAATTTTCTTCTGTCTTACTGCATCTCTGCGCTTAAGCAATGCAGCTCTTGGACACACGTTGAAATTCTGCAAGCCTTAGCAGCTCTTGTTTACAATAATGGACCTAAATGTCAGAAGGTGTGTTTACAAACTAAGAGAAAGTAGGCAGGAAAGGTTTTCATCCTTTACTGTTTCTTCTTCTTTTTTTTTCTTCTTCTTTTTAGATAAAAATGTGTCTTGTTCTCAAATCACCATAGCTTTTAGGTTAAGATTAGAATCATGCCTAGTATTTATGCAAAAGTTGAATTACAGGTGTTTTAGGTAAGTATTTTAATAGTCAGTATATAACAAGATTTTTCCCGTGCTCATTGATGCTGTCCCTGTGTGCAGCAGCAGTAGGATCCATCCAGGATCTGGCTTGAGGCAGCGGCACACAATGGAAGGAGGGCACCAGGCTCAGTCTGCAGACTAAGCACTGTGGTCTGTCTGTGTGACAGCCAGATGGAACGTGGGGAGATTCAAATTGCAGACACTCTGCAGTCTCCATTGAGGATCCCGAAATTTGTCCTGCAGCCAGATCTGGTCTTCAGTGAGCAGTGGTCTCAAAGCCATTTCGAAGCAGAGGTTGTCCAGTGTTATAGCTGAAGTTTGCGCAGAGCTTCTTCTTGCTGCAGAGTAAGGTAGTGTTTGATATGATGAATTCTCTTGCTCTCACCAGCTCTTGGCAGTTTGCAGAGCAGTTTCTGCAGTTTGGCTAAAGCTCAAAGTAGTGATGCTAGCGGTGTTGGAGCTGCCAGCTTGCGTGGGTTTGTAGCCTAGAAAATGGCAGAAGCTTGGTACAGCAGTTGTCACTAACTTAGAATTATGTCTGGGAAGACGGCATAAATTGTGACTCAGTCTGAACTATGCTCACACTTGGTACTTTTTTAAAATACAAAACAGGAGAACTTTGGAAATAGTAATCGTGTCGTTTTAGTAAACACAATCTGTCTGTGGAATTTGAAGTTGCAGCTGATGAGTCTTTTCTTGTAGCAGAGATATGATATGTTTACCTACCAAACAGAGCCAGCAGGCTGAGGGAAGAGCATTAGTGACTTTGGCTGCTTTGTTTTAGTACCTGCAGGATTTGCTGGGCAAGACGGGACTCCTGGTACAGTTCAGTGATCCTGCTCAGTCCGACGTGGAACTCAGGAGGGCAGCAGTACACAGCATGGCAAACCTGTGTCTCAGGTGCATACGAGCTCTTACAGGTGGGGAAGTGGATGCTTTAGATGATGTCTGACAACACAGACAGCCTGTCTGCTCTGTGCCAGGAACGGCGAATGGGGACCAGTAAGCTACATATGCATAAATACATATCGTGTATGGATAGAAACTGTAAAGTCTCAGACTTCCAGAAATAGTGTTATAAAGGAAATATTTAGGGGAGGAAATAAAAAGTTTTGTCTGGTCCTGTAATGATTGTTGGGAGGCTGTAGAATCTCTGTGCTTGGAGATGCTCAGAATCTGAATGGACACGGTGCTGTGCAACCTGCTCTGCTTGGCTGTGCTTAGAGCAAGGATGTTGGACTAGATGGTCCTGTCCAGCTTCAGCTATTCTGTGATTCTAATTTCAGGAAAATCAGTTGCAATACTTGAATTGTCCTGTGAATATTACCAAACATGCAGTAATGGCTTGAAGTAATGAAATGTGCTGGAGACAGATGCTTAGGAATCCATTACAAAGATTGTATTTAATGACAAAAGCTACTGCAGCATTGGCCAGCTTTTAGTGTATGGTACCTAAGACAGCAGAGATTAAAGTGATGCAGTTGCCCTCTCTTTGTACATTAAATCAAGCAGACATTAAAATGTTTCAGCACATTAAAATTGAGAGATGTGGGAACTGACAGAATCATACTAGGTGCCCTTAAATGTGAATTCTTGCCTTTCATCATTTGTAGGCATGGAAGCTTGTTGAGCTGTGCCTGGAGATTCATAGTAATTGAGAAGGTAGCCACAGAAGCAGAGAGCTGTAAGGTGTGCTGGGATTGTGGGAAGTCTTTGTGCAGGTTTCCTTTTGTTCTTTTTAGAACTAGAGCTGATCCTTTTCAAAGAGCTATGGGTCTGTCTTAGGCCCTCCTCCTCAGCTTAGCAGAGAATTTGCAACTGAGTCTGTAGCTTTATAAAGCTGCGAAGCACTGATTTGTTTCTCGCTTTTATTTAGTGTGCCTGGACAGCCGTGCTTGGATGAGCCCTACAGAAGTGTCTGTTTTCAGACGTTCCTAAGTGTTCTGCAGTCTTCAAAAACCTCTAATGTAGATGACATTGTCTTTTGCATGGTAAGTGTGAGTCTGGAATACTCTGATTAGGAAATTGGCTGCTGGAATGCTGCAGTTTGGAGTGTATGATGTTTGGACTATTTTCAACTGAGATTTTGCTTAAATAGTTTATTTTTTGTATTTGTTTTAACTGGGCAGAGTAAATAACTGTCATGGCAACTATGTTGAGCGAAGCCATAACTGCTTAAAAAATCTCTTGAAAGATGTGAAGCTTCAGTGTTCTGGGAAGGAAAAGTAAATAATTCTGTTTTTGTTCTCAGCTGCTACAGAATGCACTGAAAGGAATCCAGTCGCTTCTGAACGGTGGGAAGATGAAGATAATGCAAACTGACCAGCTTGGATCTCTCCTTGCAGTATTAAAGGTAACTACTTAAATTGACACTGAGGACATGTGCTGAAAGGGAAAAATACACCAACATTTTTGTTGTTGTTTCAGAAATGCATGTTTCACGGGCTGCCAGGGCTGAGCATAGAGATGCCTGCAGCCTTGTACCCAGCTCCATTACCTCAGTATGACAAAAGGTCACCTGTCAAAGAGGAGCAACCAGAGCCAGCTGCCTTTAAGCCCATGGGGGTAAGCTGAAGTTGTGCTCCTTTACTGTACTCATGTGATTGTTGTGGTTGTGTGTTACCTGAGTGGCATTGGTGCTAACAGGCTCTCTGTGTTCTGTGTGATACATTTTGTATTTTTTTTGCTGTTATGGTATCAGTTATACATCTCTGAACTAATTAAAATGCTTTGGTTTTGTCACCTGAGTTTACAAATGGCTCTGCAGAGATGGGTTTTCTTGACTTAAGCTGTGTGTCATTTACTCTCCTGCAGCCAAGAATTCTTGGCCTGCAGGCATGGAATTGGTGCTTGCAGACAGACAGAGTTTTTTACAAATTGCATTTTGTCTCCTGGCACTTGGACAATTATTTGACTTCTTCTGAGAGAAGCCATGCTCATCTACTGACTGATTTTTAAAAATTATTATTTTTTTTTTTAAATCATCATTATTTTGGTGGTTTTTTCCCCTCTTTTTCCTTGCTTCCTCATCTGTTCTGCTTAATCCTTACACAGGTTATTTTTTGTGTACAGTGTTGCATGGACTGCAGGTGAGTGCAGTCATACATTGTTGCACAGAAGATACTAAATAGTTGTGATAACTCTTCTGGGTAAATTAAATTTCATCTCAAAACTACTCACTTGAAAACTAAAGCTGTTACATGGTAATGTTCTACGTGGAGGGCATGATTTACCATATGGAACTCTGCTTTTCTTCTGGATTTAAAGTAGTTTTGTTTTCATTTGGGATTTTGTTTCCCTTAGTAAAAGGTGTACTGCTATAAAATGATTGCACATCCTGGATATATACATCTACATAAAATCTAGCTTTCTTCATACAACAGAACCGAAGAAAGAAGTCCAAAGGGAAACAAAAAAAGGGAGAGTTTGCAGAAGAAGGAAAAGAAGATTTGTGTGATGCAGGAAATGAATCAAACCATGGAGCAGACGTGCTGAAACTGAATGTGGAGAGCAGTCCTTGTGCAGATCCTCGGGCTTGTGCATCAGGTGTTGCATGTGTGCCTGCTGGAAAGGATCCCCTGCCTTCACTTGGTGCTGCCTGGAAAGGAGTCAGCAGCAGCGAGTCGGAATATTCTGATGCTGAAGGTGGAATGCAGAGCAAAAC